CCCCAAAACCCCAAAACCCCAAAACCCCATGAGTAAGATTATGAAAGTTAAGATTATAAATTAATTTCTTTTATTAATATTCAAATCATTGTTACGATCTTAGAGTTTTACGGGCTGATTTAGCTGATATTACTTTTTGTGGAGTTTCTTCGGCTGTTTGCTCCTCATCTAATGCAAATCTAACATTTTTCTTAATAGTTTTATCTTATCTTTTTCGCTCTCGCTTTTTTAAATCAAATTCTTCAATATTTTTATCCTTTGGTATGTAAGGGGATCTTGGACTTTTTACCTCTTGCCCAAATTCACTTTCTGATTCGAATGTTCCAGTTGAGTTAATTTCAACTACATCATCATGTCTAAATTTAGACAGGTTTCTTTAGTTCGATCTTTAGAATGCTTTTTTAGTGGCTAAGTTTTGATTATCTTAGCATGGGAGATTTAGTTTTCTGGAAAAGGATTAGATTAATAAGTTTTATAAAATGTTTTACCTCTCATCTTCCTCTAAAGTTCTTGATGAGATTTGCTTTGCAACTTAATCCTTTTTTTGAGTATCAATTGACGAATGTTTTAGAGCTGATTTCAATTTTTTATTATTGCGAAACTCTTAACCTCTTTCGGAATTTGAGTTTTCATCAGTATTGAACTTATGATTTTAATTTTATTATCGAATATTTTACTAATAGTTAGCCTCAAATTCCAGCATATTATTAAATTATTCTTCTTAATTATGAACAAATCCAAGTCCATATAAAATTCTATCTTTTTCTAATGCCTGTTATGCTTCTTCCTCTGTAAATAATTCAAGTCTTTCCTGCTTTTAGTCCTTTATTTCCCACCAGTTGAGTATTTAAACCTATTCTTCTTCTTGATCAATTTAATTTATTTGGATATTTTCATAAATATCATTAAAAATGTCGAGTCCAGCACCCATTTAATTATTCTACTGAAAGAATGCAGTCCAAAGGTCTTCTTCTTTATCTACTTATTCTGCTTATGTAAAAGGTCCATCAGTATAAGCCTTCTTGATATATTAAGATTTTTTATTTAGAGACTCTAACGCCTATTATTACTTTTTGTGATAATTAGCGAATTCAAAATTTTAATAACCATATGGTGGTACGCAAAATAATGGCGAAGTATCTTAATATACTTAATCTTTTAGATACTTTTTATATTCATAGTCATATGGATTAAAATCAAACTTGAAAAATCCTAATTATTAAGCCATTGTAGTGGGTTCAATTTTATCATATTTAGGGGATTATTCAATTTCTATTTGGTCATTTTAGCTTTCAGATTCTGTTTATGGGGTTTTGGGGTTTTGGGG